ACACACACACACACACACACACACACACACACACACACACATATATATGCCTTTTTTTTTCACTCCAAAGCATCCAACTCCTTGAGATGAACTTCATTTTCCTCAAGGCTGTAATTGATGTGACATTATAGAATGAATGTTCTTTGGATCATTGGAAAACTCATCATTGCATTTTGTTTTTAATGTCCTGTTGTAAGGTTTCTATGAACTTCAATGATTTAAGAAGAGTGGGTTCGTTTAAGTCTGCACATACATATAAATGTATGGATGACGCCAGGAATAGTATCCCTGGTTAGAGCTGAAGCTGGTGGGATCCTAATGGATCACAGAAACAAATAAGTGACTTGATGAAGGATTTGTCTAAAGCCATATTTAAAACAGAACTGTGGCTGCATTCTTCATAAGACCACTCTTCGTATTGATATTAATATTACTCATAATCTACTGATGTTTAAATATATTTAATTATTCTGCTACAGTACATTAAACTAGGTTAAAGCATCAGCTTACAACCATATCTCTTTTTTCCCCCTCACTGAATTCTCAGACTACATTATTTATCTCTGCTCTTTGTCTTTCCTCTGTTTTTACTCCTGTCCTGACATGTCTCTTCACACCATGTCTAGGCTCCTCACCCACCCAGGAACACCTGGACCCCAGGCTTGTGTGAGGGTGTGTTCACTGATCACACAGAATAGTTCTCGCCGGTTTAACACAAAGCTAGGTTAAGGTCTGATACTGCTGAAAAAGTTTGTGTTACAAAAACGGTATTGTAAGAATAAAAAATGCCTCGGCGTATGTCTCTTCAGATGTTTAATGTGTGAGTGGATATGTGCCTGTCTATTTGTTGGATGCGTTTTCTCTGATCTCCAGTGACATCATCACCTGTGTCTCTGTGGCGGCACAGCATGCTCGTTGCTAAGAAACGGGGTTAGGAGGAGACAAAGGGGGCTGCGGTGGGGCACATGATGCTAGAAACTGGACAGTCTGACGGGAATATGGAGACAGGAGGGAACTCCCTCTAATGTCAACTGTTTCTATGTTTCTTCTGTTTTTCTCTTTTGAAAAACAGAAAAAAATATTCAATAACTTCTCACAGTAAAGTTACTTCTTCAACAGGAAGTTGTCTTTCTGAATATTAACAAAAAGGATCCCAACAAATTCTTTCTTCTGAGAGGCATTAGCAGGTGGGGGGGATTGACTGAATTTCTTATCTGGAGGAAGCTTGAAGTGAAAAGCTGTAAGTGAAACTGTGAATTGCACTTCATGTTTTCACAAACACATAGTTTTTGTAATTTCCCATCATGATTAGGGGCTATTTGTGTCTGCATGGAAACCACACGTAAGCATACCTACTTACCAAACCTTCATCCTTGCTTTCCAGAACCC